ACACACACACACACTTTACATGCATGTTACTAGTAGTATAGGTTGTCACACCACTTTTTCACGCGGCGAAGTAAGGGTTTTTCAAATTTAAGTGACGTAATTAATTAGGGGATTATTTTAGTTTTTTAAGAGTTGCCACTTCTAATTGAGGTACGGTGTTCCAAGTCACCTTTTATTTAATTCTTAATCAAAAGAAATGAATCTTTGTTTGGTCTGCGAACCAGTTCGGGTAAAGAATTCTATTGACCGAGGGAAAGGTATTACGCATCCCTCGAGTCCCGTGGTTCTAGCACGGTTACTTTATGGACTTTCATCACATAAATTATTTTTAATATTATATTATTAAGACAAATGTATTTACCCTCATTCTTTGATTTAGATTAACATATTTAAAACTGTACAATTTTTTAAACATGTGAAGTTTTTACACATTTATATTAATTATTTATTAATTTTTCATTCTTTCAACATTTGTCTGCTTCTTAATTTCTCTCTTTTATTTTATTTTTTATTTGTTTTTTTAATTGTATTTTTGTTTCTCTCTTCTCATTTCTTTTGTACTAATTTTTCACGAATTTTTTTGTTTAACTTTCCTTATTTTATATTTTTGATTTTTACATTGATTTTTCTTCTTTTTCTTTTCTTACCTTCTTTTTTAAAAAAATAGTTGTGTTTTTTTTATTGATCATACTAAAATATTTTTTTTAACACTATACTTTTGTGTCTTTTCATTTTTGCAGTAATTTTTCCTGTACATTTTCTCCATTCTTTTAATTATACTTTTTTTTTCTATTACTCTTTTTCAGATTCAGATGTTTTGTCATCAATGTTTCTTTTCATCTTCTGTTATTCACGTATTCTACCTCTATTCCTTATTCCATTTTATTGTTATTATTTTTTTTATCTTTTTCTTTCAATTTATTATCCTCTCCTTATCCTATCAAATTTATTATTATTATTTTTAATAGAATCTAAAAATAATAATGTAAGACAACACACATAATATAATATAAAATATAATTTAATACATTTCTAAACACAACCAAACAAACAATTCATTCAAATTAGTTAGACATGAATATAAAAATTTGGATAACTACGCATATTAGCATTAGGATCATAATAACTACACATATTATCATTAAAAAACTATACATGAACAATAAGAGTAGACTTAGACAATAATTTTACTTAAGCATGAAATAAACTATAAGTTATTTAAAATGAAATAAATTACGGTTTGTTATCGAAATTTCACACAAAATATAACTATATAATGGATCTAAACATAAAGTTTATATGAAATATTTGGACAAACTTCATATAAAAACATAACGGTTTAACCACATGTGAAATTTTACAACTTCAATATATTGCAATCAACACTTGTATAACATGATATTAAATTATTAAATAAAAAAAGGTACCTCTTGCGAAAATTCTACCAAAAGAAAATAATTCAAATAAGGAACCACGAAAGTAAACCTCAACTTCAACTTTTGTTTGTTAGTCAAAGCAAAATATGTTAATATATTTACTGATTTTTTTTTGTGAGTGAGTCCCTTCTTTTTTGTGTGTATTTTTTCTTTTCACATTTTTTCTTTCCGATCTTCTGATTTTTTCTTCTTTTTTTTATGTCTTGTTGTCTGCAATATAATAGTGCAGGTGTGTGCAATGTGTGTGCAGATCATGGGAGAGGGGGGGGGGAAGCTGGGTAAAGTGGGGGTAATGGGAATTTTCTTATTTTTATATTAAATATATATGAAATGATAACCATATAATTATTAATTGTTTTGAGTAAATAAATAAATAAAAGCTTAATGGATAATAAAATATATAAATATATGTGTGTGTGTGTGTGTGTATATATATCTTTTTTTGTTACAATCAAAATAAACTTTTCTAATAAAATTATATTTATGTTGTTTATTTTTATATCTTTCAAATAAACTTAATGAAAATAATAAAAAAGTCAAAATATATTTAATTTAGATTAATAAAATTATTTATGCTCTAAATGTTGGTGTTAAACATAAATTGGGTAAAAAATTACGTGTCTACAGTTTGCCCCTCTTTGACTGAAAATATGAAGGATTTTAAGACAAAGAAGTAGACAAAGTGACCAGTTTTTTGACTGAACTCTTATTTGAAAGACCAAAATTTGTGCGACCAAGTCCTTGTTTGGACATCCTACATATCCCGGGTGATAAGGGAATCAAGCCACTTGTAGTTTGAGGAGATAAAGTGATGAGTGGGAAGTTAAATGAGGTTCCATCAAGGCTCCAGATTGCGACTCTTATCCTTACATAAAAATTGAAAACTATTAGTCAAAACAAAAAAAAATGTGCAAACTTCTATCCACGCAGCTTTTCTTGAATCTTCACTTGAATTTTGACTTTAAGATATCACCTTGATTTTTGAGTGAATATCTTAACTTAGAATTTGAATGGAGGCTGAATTTTCCACGTAGACAGAACTTTTGACATTCTTCCAAATGACAACTTGAAAAATGCTCTTGAATGAATGCGTGTTTTCTTGATCAAAAGTTGACTAGTAAAGGATGTTTGGAAGTCAAGTTGCTACATGCATTGAAGAAGCTAATTCAAACTATCATGGAATTGATTATTCTAAAAAATTTGAAACTTTGTTCTTGAATTTCAAATCCAGGTCTCGTTTGAGTAAACCTGAGAATCACCACAAAAAAAAAATTCCCCACTTTTCACTAGGAAAATTTTTGTGAGTTATTAGCAAATATAAATATAAAACATAAATTTCGGCTACACAGTGTTTATTTCAAGAGAAAATAAAACTAAAAATCTAGACTAGCAAGTGTTTATCCTATGAGAAAGTAATCTTATCCCATTATTCAGGAGGATCCTACTAGTCCCATTATGTAGGAGTGTCCTGCTAGTCCCATTATTCAGGAGGGTCTTGCTAATCACATTATCCAGCAGGGTCCTGCTAGTCCCATTATCAAGGAGGGTCTTGCTAATCCCATTATCCAGGAGGGTCCTGCTAGTCCCATTATGCAGGAGGGTCCTGCTACTCCCATTATCCAGGAGGGTCCTACTAGTCCCATTATCCAGAAGGGGCCTGCTAATCCCATTATCCCGGAGGGTCCTGCTAGTCCCATTATCCAGGAGGGTCCTGCTAATCCCATTATCCAAGAGGGTCCTGCTACTCCTATTATTCAGGAGGATCCTGCTAGTCCCATTATCCAGGACGGTCCTGCTAATCCCATTATCCAGGAGGGTCCTGCTAGTCTTATTATCAAGGAGGGTTTAGAAATCCCATTATCCAGGGGGGTCCTGCTATTACCATTATCTAGGAGGGTCTTACTAATATAAAATTTTCAACAAACTAGTAATGCCAACGAAACATTGTGAATGCTATCTACATTATTTGGAAGTTCCTTCGATGAGAAAAAATAATAATAATAATAATAATAATAAATAAAATTAATATTCTAACATTTAAGTAATTTCTATTTTTATATATATTAGCCAACATTCATATAATATTCTACAAGTCTTTATTGTAGGGTTTCCATTTCGCTCGCTGCAGACTAGGTTGAACATCTAGGTTCCTCGAATTCTCTATCTTGAAATAACTTGTGTCCCTGCTTCAACAAAGAAAATTTGTGTGTTTGAAAAGGTGATGGTTGGTTTGTGGTTCCATCTTTTGACAAGGGCGGCTCAAACACTTATGACGCTTTGGTTGTTTCCAACGATCAATACTTCTTATGTATTGATAGTACTTTCATCCAAATTTACTTATTTTGGGACCTAAATCCAATGTCTTTATCTCACAACACTCAATTTTTAGCCTACATAGGATAAGAGAATTTTCAAATTCAACACTTGGAGAAAGATTAACTCAGTAGCCTGATGCTTTGCCTAGTACTGTTTAGAGACTTGGTAGAGAGTCTTGAAATTCCTTCCTAGTTTTTTGACAAAGACTCGTCTAAAATACATACCAAAAAGTGACGAAATAAGTATAAGAAAATTGCGAACTGTATCAGAATAAAAGAAAAGTTTCGATGAAGACTCTTTTTTTTGTAAGAAGAAGAAAGAAAAACTTATCTAACTGTGGGAGCCGAGTTTACTGATCATGCCATGCAATTTGAAATTGATTTCCATACTTGGCTATCCAATCTATTCATCAACCATTATTGATTATTCAATCTTCATGTAGAATCCCAACACTGAATAAAGCCATAAATAATTTGAACCCTTATAGACTTTGTGATATTCATGAAGGTCTATGCCGCTAAAACTCTATCATGTTAATTGCTCGTGCTCACATCTGCCTTATGGTGCATGTCATAATTTTCACCAATAAGACTCTTTGATTTTCAACTCCTTTTCGCCTTACGGTGCCCACTTAGGGTTTTCACCAATACGGCTTTATCATTTTTATTTCATTTACTTACATTTATCTTATGGCCCCCATTCAGGATTTTTACCTACCCTTAACGACTTACTCTCGACATATCAAGGGTTAATGAAAAGACCTTTTTTTTACTTTAGATTATGGGGTTGATTTTTAGCTTTGAGATGAGAGACCGAATGAATAAACAAACGAATGTTGCCCCAGTATACTACAATTAGAATTTTTGGATTTGTATTTGGTTGAACCGAACCCAATATTAGGGCTGCCTATGTATCTTGCCGAAACAAGAATCTGGTTAAACATAGTTCAGGCAATTTATTTGTTTTTTTGAAAAGTCAAGGAAATAGCATAACCAAAAGATCCCATTGAATCAACCCTTGAAATGTAGAGCCCAAACATAAGGGTTTCTAATGTCAAAACTCAATCATATGTAATATCTTTTCACAGCATCAGCATTGACGACCGTTTCTGTCACTTTGCCTTCTATATCTGCTAAGAAAAGAGCACCATTGGGTAATACCCTTTTAACAACGAATGGTCCTCTCCAATTTGGAGAAAATTTGCCTTTGGTTTCAGCATGATGAGGATAAAATGTGTCTCAACACTGATTAACCCTCTTCAAAATGTCTGGGACGCACCTTTTTGTTGTATGCCCGTGACATTCTTTTCTGAAATAACTGTCCATGACATACTGATGTCAGACGCTTCTTATCAATAAAACTTAATTGCTCTAACCGAGTTTTGATCCATTCATCATCATCAATTTCACCCTCCACAATGATTCGTAAAGATGGGATCTCAATCTCTACAGGTATAACTGCCTCAGTCCCGTATACCAGTGAAAATGGGGTAGCGCCCACCGATGTACGATCTGTAGTGCGATAACTCAACAAAGAAATAGGCAACTTTTTATGCCACTATCGCTAACTTTGCACCATCTTACGATGTTTCTTTTTTATGTTTTTTTAGAAGCTTCTATAGCCCCGTTTGCCTTTGGGCGATACGGAGTCGAATTTCGATGCTCAATCTTAAATTGGTAGCATACCTCTTGCATTAAAAGGCTGTTGAGATTTGTGGTGTTATCAGTTATAATAACCTTTGGAATACCAAATCGACAGATGATGTTGAAATGGATGAAATTCACCACGACCTTCTTGGTCGCTGACTTGAAAGTTACTGCTTCCACCAACTTTGTAAAATAATCAATGCCCACGAAGATGTACCTATGACCATTCGATGCTTTTTGTTCTATCGGTCCAATCACATCCATTCCCCATGCCATGAAAGGCCATGGAGCAGACATTGCATGCAACTCAGAAGGAGGAGAGTGTAGCAAATCACCTTGTATTTGACATTCATGACATTTACGAACTAATCGTATGGAATCCCGCTCCATGGTGAGCCAGTAATATCCTCTCAGAGTATCTTCTTGGATAGAACGTATCCATTCATATGAGGTCCACAAACTCCTAAGTGTACTTCAATCATGATTGTGGAAGCCTCTTGAGCTTTTACACACCTTAGAAAACCTAAATCGCGTGTCTTCTTGTACAGTATGCCTCCGCTTAAGAAAAGACCCCTAGGTAGTCGTCGAATAGTCCTTTTTTTATTACTAGTTACATCTGACAGATACCGAAGATATGTTTTGATATCATGAAACCAAAGCTTACCATTAAATTCCTCCTCAATCATGTTGCAATAAGCATGTTGATCACAAATTTGTATGTATAAAGGGCCGATATGAGTGCCATCAGGGTGTTGGAGCATCGAAATAAAGTGGCAAATGCATCTGCAATCTCATTGTGCACTCTAGGAATGTGTCTAAACTTTATCGACATGAATTGTTGACAAGGACCTTGTAAACAATTTTAATATGGTATGAGCTTTGGGTCTCGAGTTTCCTATTCTCCTTGAATTTGATGAACAAGTAAGTATGAGTCTCGTAAAACTAACAATTCTTGGATACCCATGTCAATAGCTAACTTTAGACCTTAAGTGCACTCTTCATTGTCAGACATATTATTAAAACAATAGAATCTAAGTTGGGCTAATATAGGGTTATACTCCCCTGATTCAGACATAAGAACAACTCCTATTCAAAATCCTTTCCTGTTAGAGGCACCATCAAAGAATAACTTCAAACCTTGATTGTTATCGTGAATAAATTCATCGATACATAATATCTCTTCATCTAGAAAATAGGTTTTAACTGGTTCATATTCTTAATCAATAGGGTTCTCTACCAAATGATCTTCTAATGCTTCAGCTTTCATTGCGGTCTGCGTTATATAGATAATTTCAAACTCTGTGAGCAATATTTTCCATTTCGCAAGCCTGCCTGTGGGAATGGGCTTTTGAAAAATATATTTCAATGGATCCATACGAAAGATCAGATAAGTAGTGTAAGATGAAATATAATGTTTCAACTTCTGTGCTAGCCAAGTTAGGGCACAACACGTTCTTTCAAGAAGGGTGTACTTCGCTTCGAAACGGTAAACTTCTTGCTGAGGTAATGAATGGACCGCTCTTTCTTCCCTGTGTCATCATGCTGACCCAGTACACAACCAAAAGAATTATCCAGTACTGACAGATACAATATTAAAGGTCTTCCAGGCTTCGGATGAGCTAACAAAGGGGGATTCGATATGTAGTTCTTAAATATTTCAAAAGCTTCTCGACATTCTTCAATCCACTCGACTGTAGCATTCTTTTTCAACAACTTAAATATAGGCTCACAAAATGTGGTGAGTTGAGCAATGAATCTGCTGATGTAGTTTAACCTTCCTAGAAGGCTCACAACCTCAGTTTTGTTCTTTGGAGGTGGCAATTCTTGAATTGTTTTTATTTTTAGAGGATCCAACTCGATACCTCTTGGACTGACTATAAACCCCAAAAGCATCCCCGTTGGTCCTCCAAATACACATTTCGCAGGATTAAGCTTGAGATTATACCTTCGGAGCGTTTCGAAGAATCTCCTTAAGTCTTTCACATGATTTGAATTTTTTTAGATTTAATGATAACATCATCCACATAAACTTCGATTTATCTATGCATCATATCGTGAAATATGGTTGTCATTGCTCTCATATAAGTTTTCCCTGAATTTTTTAATCCAAAAGGCATAACACGATAACAATATGTACCCCATGGAGTGATAAAAGATCGTTTTTCTGCATCTTCATAATCCATAATAATCAAATGGTAGCCCTCATAACAATCCACAAAAGATGCAACCTCATGTTTAGCACAATTATCCAATAAAATATGGAGGTTATGCAAAGGAAAATCATCTTTTGGACTTGCCTTATTCAAATCACAATAATCAACACACATTCAAACATTGTTGTCTTTCTTAGGGACGGGTACGATATTGGCTAACCAAGAAGGATATTGAGAGACTTAAATGACTTTGGCCTCAAGATATTTTGTGATCTCCTCTTTAATTATTACACTCATGTCGGTTTTTAGTTTTCTCAACTTCTGCTTTATCGGAGGAAAATTAGGATCAATTGGAAACTTGTGAATAACCTTGTCAGTGCTTAATCCAGGCATGTCATCATAAGATGACGCAAAAACATCTTTGTAATTAAACAGGGCATGGATTATATCGTCCTTTTGATGTCGAACATGTACACTTATCTTAGTCTTCTTAATAATTTCCTGATCCCCCAAATTTATCGTCTCAGTTTACTCATGGTTGGAATTGACTTATTTTCAAAATGATTGAAATCCCTCCTTACTTCTTCAAATACTTTGTCTTCATCATATTCAATTTCTTGACTTATTATTTCAATATTAGGTCGAATATTATATTGGCTATTAAGATTTGGCGAAATATTCAGCATGCATGTCATATCACTAGAATCGGCATAGAAAGATCTGTATAAAAGAAAACGAACAAATATATTAGGCTGAAATAAAGATGCAGTTACATCCTATTGAAAAGGGAAAAAGAATTTTCGAAATAAAACAACAAGATAAAAGTCCAAATTACAATCCTTGAATGAATCGGAGGACAAAAGAAAAAACAAGATAGACTACCAAGACTCGTCTTTTATGGGGAGAGGGGTGGCCTCCTAATTGTTTAGATTGAAATCAGGACCAATGAATTGCACATCTTTGTCGCTAGTTCCTTCTCCGAGTTCCACCATATAAACCTCGACAAATAAATCTTGAAAATAGTTGATCATTTCTTCGTTAACTTTCATCACTTGTTCTGGAAAAGATGATTGATAAGATTCTGTTGCGCGGGCTTTGATGAAAGATTTGTATATTGGTTGTATAGGATTCGTAAGTTACTATACATCTCTCTTCTGCATCTTTGCCTTTATTTTGTCCTCGACTCTAGGTTGGTAGCCTAAGCCAAAAGTCCCGATGCTCTTTCGTAGACTCACAGGATAAGCTCTCCCTTGAAAACAGATTCCTAAGCCTTTACTTGGATCAAACCCATGTTTTATCAATTCATTCACCACCATTATAGACGCGATGGGCATATTTGGTTTTGAAATGACACTCCCCTCGGGGACATCTCAATAACCACTACCTCTGAAGATTGATAAACTAGTGCCTCATTCTCATTATCTGCATTGATAAAATGGAAGGAAGAGTATTTGTAGATTGAAAAATCCCCCTCACAATGAACAATTAACTCTTGTCGGTCGTGTTCAAACTTAATCATTTGATGCACCGTTGAGGGGACTGATCTAGCCCTATGCACCCATTGCCTCCCCAACAATAGATTGCAGGACGCGTTGATATCCAACACATGAAAATTCACTGCGAAATCCACAGGCCCTATGGTTAGTACGAGCTCTATCTCACCAGTAACATTTGTTTTTGATCCATCAAAAGCTCTAACACATACATTGTTGGGTCAGACCCTTTCAGCACTAGCATTTAATTTCTGTAGAGTTGATAAAAGACAAATATTAACTGCAGATCCTCCATCAATTAGAAATCGAGTGACATATGAAATCTCACACTTTACAGTGATATGTAGGCCTTGGTTATGTACTGTACCTTCTTTGGGTAGTTCATCATCTGAAAAGGTGATGCGATTTACCTCAAATACTCTCCCAGCAATCTTCTCTAACTGACTCACTGTTACTTTACTACGAACATGTGCTTCATTCAAAATTTTCATTACAGCCTTACGATGTTCATAAGAATGTATTAGCAAAGACAACAAAGAGATTTGGGCTGGAGTTTTTCTTAATTGTTCCACCACAGAGTAGTCTAATAGATTCATCTTCCTTAGGAATTCCTCTGCCTCTCCTTCGTGACCGGACTCTTTATTTGTATTTGGTCATTTTTAGTTTTTCTTAATTCCATCGGGAGATAACATCTTCTTGGACGGGTTATTCCTCCTACTTCATCTATTTCTTCATCAATTTCTTTTCCCTTGTATGTCACGACAGTAGGCTCATAATTCCAAGGAACAACTTTGAGGATAGTCATTGGGAGCTGGGATACTGGCCTGATAGTAACATGAGGAATATGGGCCCCTCGCACTATCAAGATAGGCTTGTTTGTCCCTTTTAGAACAAATAATTTTGTCTTACTAGGGCTTTTCCAACCATCTTCAAGGGCTCCTTTTACAGTTAAGATGGGTGTGTTTGATGGACTCAACTTTTCTAATACATTTTTCGCCCCTAAAGGAATGATTTGGTTAAATCAACAACATTTGATGACTTCTAAATGCCAGTTCGAACGCTAAGGATTGGCTAATACGGAGATGCAAACTTTTCATAACCCTTCATCATTTCCAGCATGTTTGTTTCAGTATGCCTCGGCAATGGAATTTGATTGATGTTGGGTCCACTTGGACATTCAACTATAATTTGATTAGAATCGATCAAATCCTGAATGACCCTTTTCAATTACCAACATCTCTCTATGTTGTGCCCTGGGGCATTAGAACAATATGCGCAATGTTGAGAATAATCCAAATTTCCCGGGGGAGGATTCGACATCTTTCTCCCATTGGACTCAAAACATTCAACATCCTTAATTTTTGGAACAAGCTAGCATACGACACCCCAATATTAGTGAACTCATATTTAACACCATTTCCCTTTTTGTATTGTGGTCTAGGATTAAAAGGAATTCTAGCAGTATTTTGATGAACTTGTGGGGTGGTGGATGATTTTATGGAGTTGGTGCACGCCATTGTGGATAAGAAGGGGGTGAAATGGTTGTGCATTAAAAACATGATATAGAGTGTATGGGACAAAATATTATGGAGCTTGGGAAGGAAAATAGTGTTGTGGGGAATTATCTAGAACATGAGTCCTAGGCGCTGATACAGTAGTGGTCACATCCTCAGTTTTCTTCTTTTCTCCAAAAATTCCAAAACCATTTTGAAGCACTTGTGTTGTGGCTTTTAAGGCAGCCTGA